AGGAAGAAATAGTGTCATCTCTAATTATTAACGAGGTTGGTTATCACTGCACTGAGGTGAGGCCAGCGCATATCAGTATTTCCGGGGCACACAGGTCACCTGGGGATTTGTTAAAAGGCCAATTCTGATGAAGAAGGTTTTGTGTGGGGCCTGAGATTGCGCATCTCTAACAAGCTTACAGATGGCACTAATGCTGCCAGTCTGTGGACCACACTTTGAATAGCCAGGGTTAGCATGTAGCCATGGACTTGAATTACTGTCAAGAGGTCTGCTTTCCCCAAATGATGAATTTGCATTTGTATCTTTGATTCTAGATGGAATACAACTTTGAGGGGATAGGTCAGAATATATTTGCTCTTTATAATTGTAAGTCTTAGTCTGAGCAATGTTTGAAGGAAAAACTAAAAGAGAAAAGCATTTAGTAGCAGAAAAATGTTAAGAAATAAATCAATTACCACCAATACATTCATCAGTCAATTGTAAAATAGAAAATAGGCTAATTTCCATTATCTAATGAGTAAGTAACCTTATAAAAACAGGTGCCCTGGAGTTCAGATGGCTTTAGTGGAGCTCAGCCTAACATACAACTGAGGAGTAAAATACAGGTACTGAGAGAATTTAGCTCCATAAAAAGAAAGCTGTGTACAAGTTAGGGCTCAGTTACACAAACAGACTGAAAACGGGCATTTAGACATTTCTCTTTCAGACAGCGTGAATAGCTACTGTTATTGAGGCCCAAGCCTTATCTACCTTTAAGCTGACATAAATTGAAATTTGAGAGGATTCCAGCCTTTTCCCAGGAGAAAACTTGTTTTGCACTATCTGTAAATCTCTGTGAATTTCCAGGGTTTAGGAAAGGAAGAGACACACAAGCTCAGTTAAACCTGCCCCAGTGCAACCTGGTTCTCACCTGTACAATATCACATCAAAGCGACAACAGCAAGTGAGGGTCCTTGGTGAGAAGAGGCTCACTGATTCTAGAAAACCTTTACTCTGTAACCACACACGCCCTGTTTTCATCTAGAAGTAGTGCCTTAGCCATACGAAGGCGGGAACTGAGAACTTCTACATGTGTGTCTCAGCTGCCCTACAGAGAAAGAGGGCTGTGGATTCCATGAGTTGCTTAATTTTGCTATAAAGGACAACATCTCAATGGGAACTCTTTATTTCCTCCCAGCTAGAGTAAGCTAGCCAAAAAGGCAGCCCGGCTCTTTGCTGGCTCTGGCTGTTCATGTCCTGCTGGCTCCTCCCATCATTCCCTTAGGAGCTTGGCTCCATGTTGTTGATAAACGTGTGGGAACCTTGCTGCCTCGAGGGTACGGCCAATTTAGGAAAGCACATCTGCACACTGGACTCCTGTTGGGCCTTGTGGAGGCTGGAATCCCAACCCCAGTTTCACTTACACAGAGAAACTCAGAACGGCTAGAATTTTGAGCATTTTCAGTTACAGGAAAACAGGACTCTTCCTTAGACCCAATTCAGACATTGTCAAAGGAAAGTTGGTTGGCTGAGTTTGAGACTTATATAATTTATGTAATGAGGCCTTTGAATTTATATAGAAAGAGCCTGCACTTTTATTAAACTGGTTTGCACAGCTACTAAAGGAGTGATGGCTTCTAAACTCTCTTCTGAAATGGCTTGATAGAATTTAGGGTAGAATTATTCTTCTAAGCTTGGTATAATGTTCTTTCGTCTCTAATACTCAGGCCTGGGAGAATTAGAACATGGCAGTTCAGTAGACTGTGGCAGGAGGACCCTTGGTCTGGGTGCCTGGCAATCACTAACAGTGATGTGTACTCAGAAACGGTCACTGGGAGAGCAGGCTGACAGTCGACCTGCTAAACACTAGTTTGATACAAAATGTTAATTGAAAGTTACAATATATTTTATAATATATCAATATATTTCATATTTAAAATAAACTGTTATGCTTTCTCCTATCATTAAAAAATAGCAAGCAGTACAGAGGCAAGATGCAAATTCATATTAAAGCTCATCTGATTCTGAATATAAACACTTCAGTTTCTGAGCTTGCCATGAAAATATTTCCTCCATTAACATCCTGTTATTCTCTTTTGCTGTTCTCTTGTGGCCAGTGCAGAACGGAGAGTCTGGGACCAAAACTGAGTTGTTGCGCCATTAAACACCGTATCTGATGAAGGTGGATCAGTCCTGGTTGAGATTCAAAAACCGAGACAGTATGACACAGCGAGAGAATGTTTATTCCGTGTCCTTCTTCGTGAAGCTGGACGTTGGCTGCTTTGACCAGATTCAGACATGTATACGTACTTTTTCTTTTTGGCTATAAATGTCAACATCTCTTTGGGATCCTAACTGCAGGTTGGTGTTGAATTTTGTGCTTTTCCTCCACCTCTTGGTTGGTCACGATGTCTCTTTTGTTTGTTTCAACACATAGCCCAGGCCCAAGATTACAGCTTCCAGGATACATTTTTCAGGTGTGTAAACAACTGTCACAGGGCACTTGGCACCTAGATTTGGAGGTCATAAGTTGAAGATTTGACAATGGTTTTGTTCAGAGGGAGCTCCAGTTCATGTTTGGGTGTTTCCAGTAATGGCATAAGACAAAAAGATCACAGTTATATATTTTTCTATCTGTATATATGTATATACCATTGCACTGAGTACTTTTTAATAAGCTGCGGTCTGTTTCAATAAAAATCTACATATTACTTGTCTGACAGGAGTTTAATGTTAATTTCTATTTATGCAGCCTGACACAAGCTTTCTGCTACCACAAGCAGACAGTTAATATTGCTATCCCTGTAAACTCCTTTCTTAGTGGTGCCAATGATCCCATTTCCTGAACGTTTACTTTGGCGGCAGTAGAGAAGGAAAGGATAGTGTCGGGCGTCAGCAAGCCCACTGACTGCAAGGGGAGAGAAGGGGCTGTTCGTGCCTCCCGGGAAGCCACCAGGTAGCTGTCTAAGGTACTGAAATCCAACCCTGCAGAGTCAATAGGGATCCTTCATCTGCTTCTAGCAACTCTCAGAGAAGAATGAATATAGAAAACTGGGGACATATTTTAGGATTTAAAAACAGTAACTTAAAAAGAGTAGGAACCTACTGGTAGTGCAATGACTTCACAGTATTTCAGCTGTGGCACTGTGATGGGAGCAACACTGTTTGTTCTGGGTGAAACACTGATTCTTAATTTGGAGTGTACTGCTTGTTGAGTTGCACTCTGGAGGAAGGGAAAGTTCTGGAACTATGTGTTAATCCCATATTTCTCCCTGCGGATTTTACCACTATTTAATATGCACTAATTACTTTTTGGTAGCTACTGCTGCATTCAAATGTAACATCAAGTTGTGAACTAGATACAGTCAGTCTAGGCTGCTGTTGATGACAAAGGTGATTTCATTTGTTCTCTATTTAATTCTTTGTACTTAAGAATATTAACTATTCTCTTCTTTTAAGTACAGAGAAACTGATGAATGAGGTGGTTATATGAATTGGCCAAAGATGTGGATCCAGTCTTAGATTTTTATTTATCTGATTTTGTGTCACTAGGTTTCTTCTTTTCCATGATTGTTTATTCACAAAGAAATTATAAAAATTTAAGGGGGAAATCCCCCAATATATTAAAATCATTACTTCTTCAATGCTGTTCCTTCTTGGCCTTTAATAAGAAAAATAGCTTGTACATGCTCAGCGCTTGGAATTTACTTTCACATACATTTTCTATGTCTCCTAATTCACAAGATTGTTGTTCTACCACTGGCCCCTGCTGAGGTCGGTCAGTGGTGGCTCGGGGCCTTCCCCCTCTTGTTCTTTTGGATTGTATTAAGCACTTCTAGAGACATGATGTCATGAAGTTACATATTATGAAGATGGAAAGGACAGTTCATAGACATATGACAATTTGTTGATGATGATCACATATATGTGGCCTTTGATCCAAGGGTGAAGACTTTTATTTGGACTTCAATCTAAGGAGGAGTGAGCCCCTACTCTGGTATAATTTACCAACTAATGCTATGTCCTGAATTCCACTGAGATTAGTGGTCTTAAAGTATCACAGTACATCCCTGACTTTACAGTACATGAAGCTATAATATGGCTTAAGCAATGGGGAGGGGGGTGGCTCCTTATTTCTAATTCAAGTGTCTAGATATTTTAGGGAATATTAGAGTGATTTTATCTGTCACCAAGTTATCAGAAAGATTATAGTAGGGGATCTGCCATTGGGTCAGTCCTCCAGGAGTGGGCAGATCTTGATCAGTACAGCACTAACATGAGGTTGCCATAATTAATAGTTTTTACATATAGCCAATTTTTTTTTTTTTTTAAGATGGAGTCTTGCTTGAGAGGCCGGAGAGCAGTGGTGCAAGTTATTCTCCTGCCTCGGCCTCCCAAGTAGCTGAGACTATAGGTACCCATCATGACAGCTAATTTTTGTATTTTTAGTAGATGTGGGGTTTTGCCATGTTGGCCAAGCTGGTCTTGAACTCTTGGGTTCAAGTTATTCTCCTGCCTCGGCCTCCCAAGTAGCTGAGACTATAGGTACCCATCACGACAACTAATTTTTGTATTTTTAATAGATGTGGGGTTTTGCCATGTTGGCCAGGCTGGTCTTGAACTCCTGATCTCAGGTGATCCTGTCTCCTTGGCCTCCCAAAATGCTGGGATTACAGGTGTGAGCCACTGTGCCTGGCTATGTATAGCCAATTCTTGAGCAGATAATTAAACCTCCTCCACTACAAAACTTGAAAGTAAGGTGCAAGAAGGCATGACATAAGAATCCACCTGCCCCTTTTCCCATCTGACTGTGATGCTGAGGTGTGGTAGAATTAGCCGAAAGGTGTAGGAAGAAAACTTGGGTGAGTTACACCCAGAATAATTATACCTAAGTCATCAAGGGTTGATTGTACTTGCAGCAGAACAGGTAAATTTCCCACATAAAGCTGAAATGCTAGTACAGAGGAATAGCCTTCCATTTGCTATTACAGGATCAACGTGCAGGTTCGATCACTTTTTTCTGAAGCGTAAGCATTCTTTTGCCAAGAATAAAGATCATGTATAGCTATTGCACTACCAATAGGTCAAGTCATGCTACAAATGTCCATGTGTTTCTAGGATGCCAGTGGCTGCTGCTACCAGAAATAACTCCCATCACTTCCGTGACTAATGTTGCTAGTTTGGTCTTTAGGGTTTACCTAAGTGAGAGCATCAGTGATGGGTGAAAGAATTATTCGCAGACCACAATGGATAAATCACAGTCTGTGCACACTTTTGGCCAGGAAGAGTGGCAGTGGAATCTTGCATGTCATTTGGTTGAAATTAAGACTAAATCTCTATATGTGCATACACCCACACCCACACCCACACACACACATATCACAGGGTTACAGCAGAATGAAAGAGGTGAATAAGAATCACTAGTTGAAGGCTGTAGGTTTAAATGATCAGGATTGGCACACTCAGATCAGCCCACCAGCGGTCTTCACTTTGTGAAATGGAACTGATATCACAAGGAAACTGCATGGTTATTTCATCTGTTTACACATCTGCTTATATGTTCAGCTGAACTGTCACTGAAAACAGGAGCACCATTCTTGGGACGTAAAAAAAGGAGGGGAAACTTTCAGATAATCAACAGTTAAAAGAACAAGTAAAAAAATAAGCCAACAGCAAGTGTGGCATCTCTGGTATGCAAAACAACTAATGAAAGTGTTCAAAGGAATTATCAAGGCAAGCCATTAAGACTATAAACCATCAAAGGAGCAGCAGCAATCGCAAGAGACAGAAGAGGGTTAGCAAGAGACTAGATCTTCCTGAAAGAGTGGCCTTGGTTCTGCAGTTGTCTACCTTGTGCTGTCCTTAGAAGAACAGGCCCAGTGCTGCAGAAGAAAAATCTCCATGCCAAGGCACTGCCTTCAGAAGGGCGATGATGTCTTCTTACAAAGGTAAACCCAAGATGACAACCACAAGCAAAAAATCACTCTTTAGTTTTACCTTCCACAGATGAAATAGTCCACACAGTGCCATTCAGTTTCCCACAGGCAGAAACCAAAGACCTCAGAATGAGAAAAGTGGTGAATAGCATGACGGTTTTCATACCATGAATGTTACGTGTGGTTAATTATGGATCAATGAAAAAAATTTTCAGTGCCTCTCACTACACTGAACCTTGATGTTTCTGAAGTCTCTTGGAGTTTGAGATGCATCAGAATAGTTTTTGCACCAAGATTAACATGGCACAGTGGGAACAGGCTACCGACAAATCTACATCCTCTTACCTTACCCACAGGGCTCCCTAAGGGTTCCCTTTATTCCCACAACATTTCATTCTGAGATGACTTCAGGTCAGGTAGAAGGGACCACATGGGCCACTCTTCATCACTTCTCCTCCCAGCTCAGAGGCTCACAGGTGAGGCACTTGGCCCTTTTACACTCCTAACATCTGGGGCTGGAAACCTGTTGCCAGATAAATACGGCTCAGCAAATCTCCAAAGCATCCTTCTATTCGCTAAGGTGTTATTGAGTTGCTCTTGTCTGTACGTCTGCACACACAGGCACAATTTCTTGTCCTCTCCCTCCACACATACAGACAAACACCTGGTCATGTGGTCCATCAAAACACGGCTTGTTTGGATGGAAGAAGAAAACTGCAGGTGCTGTTATTTTTAGAAACCTGCTTATCCCTCCTGAATGCCAACAGTTTTGGCTTGGCATCCATTTCAAATCAAGCAAGGTGCATGTCCAGGACAAAGCAATGTGCATTGTGTCTGAAGGGACCCACATCTTCAGTGAAACTCAGAATTCATCCGGTGCTAGATAATTACCTGACCTGAAAGCACCCCACGTTCAGATTCAAACCAGCTCAACACCCATGGAACGGGTGCCTACTGTGTGCTGGGTAAGGTGTCAAGTCCCTTTTTATTTGGATTAAGCTCAAATAAGAAAGGACCTGGACCGAAAGCCGATGTGTGTGTATACATGTGCACGCTTGCAAACACACAGGTTTATATGGGTGTTTATATTGAGTGGAAAACCTGGCTTTTTATTTGTCTGTGTCTTTCCTTTTTTTTTTTTTTCAGTCTGATTTGGGTATTTTTGTTTTGGCAAGTTGTGGGCAGCTCTCTTTTCTCTTTGCCACACAGAGGCTTCTGGAGACAAAAGGAAGAGAGAGGGGCGTGTTCAAAGACCCCCATCGTGAAGAACCCATTCCCCAAGCCTGACACGACCCCCTCTCCCAGTGGACCCCTCTTCTGGACTGGCTTCACTGTTGGCTACTTCAGTGCATCTGACCCCCACCCCCCACGTGAAGACCTGAGATTGAGCGTGGATTTCTGTTCTCCACCAGCTCTGCAGCAAGGGCCCTGCCAGAGGCGTCGCTTCCTGTCATCTCCTCTTCCCGCTCCCAAGTAGAGGCACCTAAACAGAGATTAGATTTCTGGTTTCAAGGCATGTCGGACCAAGCACGCTGAATGAACATGAGTTAGTTAATTAGCTCGGTCTCTCTTCTTCCCGTTCCCTGGTCTGAATGTTCCTTGATGGCAAAGCGACCAGGAGAGAGTTGATTTGCATCTTAAGACCTATGGGTAATGCTTCTGGAGTGGGGAGATTTATTTAGCAACTGCTTGAACTTGTGTATGGGGTCGGGAAGGAGGTGGAGCTGACCCCAATCGGGCTATCGGAGATGGGGGTGTGGGTGGTGCCCACGGCCACGCTGACTCCCCGGGCCTCGATGATGGCAGACAGGAGCTGCTGCTGCTGCTGGCGCAGGGTGTCGGCGATGAGCAGCGGCAGGGAGTTGAAGCTGGCGGTGAGATGCTCCAGTTTGGACTCCAGGCTGCCAATCTGCTTCTCCAGGTCTTCGCTCCGGTCATTGAGTTCTGTGATTAAGTCATACATGACGTTCTGCATCTGTGTGGAGAGAGAGAGGCAGGAGACAGGGAGATGACAGGTCATCACAGAGGAATCTGCACTGGGAGAAATGAAATGCCCTCCACAGCATGACAGGAGCCACTTCCACACCAGCTGATCCGGCGAAGGAAAGACACAGGTTTATTTCCTGGGGACAGGGAGGTTGAAGTGTGGACATTTTTTTTTCTTATTACAAAAGTAATGAGTATTAATGCCAGTGTTTTATTAGAGAATATGTGCCAAGAGGGAAAAGGTGGCCCCTTTTTTCCTTAAATAAAATGAGTCTCTAAACTGTCACATGTTCTTACAGGGCCACAGCCTCTCAGCTCTCATGGCTGGTGGCATCTAATGATTCCAGAAATGTTGCTGGTGGGGAATGGACAGTGCATAGATGTATGATTAGTAGACCAGGGTTTAAGTACATATCTGCAGCTCAGTGACAACGTGCCCTCTGCCCGGCGCCTGGCCTCTCTCACTCTCGGTTGCCTTAGAAAATTGGAGTGAATGACTATACACAGTTAGGAGTTATTGCATATCCCCCAACCTCCATGTTAACACGGCAGCCAGGATGTAAGGTGAATGAACTCCCAGGCACAGTGCTTAGCCAAAGGGGGCTGGCTTGCTGAGGGTGGCCCTTCCCCTGCCTGGTCCACAAGGCCTCCAAGTGAGACATCCCTGAAGGGTCATTCCAACTGGCTGAGGTCTTTGTTGACTGTCTCACAGTTCAAACTCTCCCTCTGACCAATCCAGCGGCCCTCATTCCTTGGCAGGGGTCCTGAGTGTGCTCCCCAATGCCCTTCCTGCCCTCAGCACTGACTCCCCGTGTTCCAGGGGTGCCGGCCGATTACCGGTGCTCCTTCCCCAATACCCTATGGCCCCCTTGTTGGTCTGCAGAGTTCCAGTCTATGCAACAGATGTTTTCCTCCCAGCAAATTAGCAAATGCCATCCTGGCTGTGCACATCAGACTTGGGAACATTAGCCTTCCAGGCATCAGGGAGTAAGGCTCCTGGGGTGGCAATGCAGAGGGCCAGGCTGGGGGCTGCTTTGTCATCCCCGAGACACCGAGGCTCTTTGGGTTTCTGGTGATCTGCCAGTGACACTCCAATCGTATTTCACCTGAAATTTCAGGTTACTCCAGGAAGATATAGAAACCATTTGTGCCCCAGGGACCAAAGCAGCAGCAAGGAAGATGAGAGGAAAAAGAGGCGTAAAAGATGTGAGACGCCACAGAAGAGTGAAGGGAGCAGGGATGCGACACGGCGAGCCTCCCCGGAAGACTCCATGCACCACAGGGAAATTCACTGGGCAGCATAAGGAAAGGCTGAGCAGTAGCATGGAGATGGCCCTGCTCCCATGAGCTGTGCTGTTGCCAGAGCAGGACACTGTGTCGTGAGTGCCCTTGGAGGACAGGGCGACATTAGAAGTGAAAGTTCTCCCTTTATTAATCAACATGACAGAACCCCTCGAGGCGCACACTTTTCCAGAATGTGCAAAGCCACCCATTTCATTTGACCGCAGGGGCGCCCTGATCAGCTCTGGGTGCAGAGCCCAGGCCTCCACGCTGGTGCTCGCCAACTGCCCAACCATGGGATGTCACTTCGTTCCTCTGGGTCTTGGTTTCCTCATCTATATTCATAATCAGAGCTACCATTTGCAAAACCCTTCTAGTTTACCAAGCGTTTTCACAGATATCATCTTATTCGATCACCTGAGCCTCCAAAGGTAGGAATCATTTTTACATTTCAACTGAAGTAATTGAAGCAATTAGGAAAAGACTCCAAGCCCTCCCAGCTCTGCCAGCCTATAGGACAGCAATTCAATACAGACATAATATGTGGAGGCCACATGCCATATTCCTAATTTAGAGAGGACCAAAGGGCGGGAGTGGGAAGGCGCTGAGCTGGGAGGCTACAGCACACAGAAAGGAAAGAGAACACGGTGTTATCATCTCGCCTGCTCTGTTGCTTGGTGACAGGATGCCAGGGGGAATGCGGACCAGTGTGAAGTGTGCTAAGCTGCTGCCAGGACCTTGGCTGAGTCTCCTCGGGGGAAAAGACTGGAGGGATGTCAGAGCTTGCCTCCTGCGAACCTTTTGCTCTGCAGATTTTTCCCTCAACCCTTTCCTGCACACTCTTTCTTCCCAGGTAACTTGCTCCTGGGTTACCGATGGCTTAGTTCCCCCACCCAAGTCACAGGAGTGTCTTTGCAGTTCACTGAGGTGTTCGCTTCACCTGGTCTACTCTGTGGGCCCCATGTCTCTGAGAGGCTATGGGTGGTGCTGCAGAAATGCAGGCCTGAAAGTTGGGTTTGCCCCATGTCCCCAGGGAACATCGGTCACAGTGTGTCCTGCAAAGTGAGAGAAGAGACAGAAAACACTGCTACTTGTGGAAGAAGCATCCTGGAGCATGTCGGTGGGCTATTCCTGAAGTCACAGGTGGGCCCCTGGCTCTGTGTGCTCTCTATGGCCCTCTTCCTGGCCAAGGCTGATTGGTCCCAGGGTGGATACATGAACCAAACTGGCCAATCATCTCTTCTGAGAATTTAGAATTAAGACCAGTAAAGGGCCAATGAGTCTTTGCCTGCGGCTAAAACTATCATAGGTACTCTCTGAATTGGAGCCTGTTACAGTCTGTCGTGGGGACAAGAGGCATACAGGGAGAGAAAGAGACGGAGAAAGAGGGAAAGGAAGAGAGAGACAGGGAGAGGGAGAGAGAACGGAAGCAGTCACTCGCACACAAGCAGGGAGTAGCGACGGTGAGGGACCTCACCTCCCCCCTGGCTGGGGGTGCTTCCCAGGTCTGCTTCGAGTCAGTTCCTTCCTGCAGTCTGGCCACATGCCTCCTTTGAGGTTCTGCCTGGAATGAGACTCCCTTCTGGCCTTAGAATAGATTTCTCCATTTTTAAACCTAGTCCCAGCGGGTTTCTGATATTAAAACCAACACACCCAAAACCTGAGGGAGTTCTCTCCTGCGTGCCTACATTCCACTCCCACCCCATGCTCCCAGGAACCACGGGGCACTCCACGTGAACACCCTCCTCCAAAGGCACACAGGCCTGGGGGCTTCTCCCCACTGGTGCCAAGCCACTGACTGCCCGACTGAAGTCCTCACAGGTTTAGGAGGCCCTTTCTGTGGCTCAGTCCCTTAAATGAACAAGGCACATGCACATGGCCCCACAACAGTGATTTCTCTGCATCCTTTTCAAGGGGTGCTTAATATGCCTGAGGGAGTGTCTCTTGCTTACCCAGGGAATGTGTTCCATTATGATAATTGACATCTGCTGGAATGTTCCACCAGCCTGGCCCTGAGCGTACACTTAATATACAATTCCTATCAAGAGGCAGTGAGGAGGGAGGGCTGAGGAGGGGAGGCCCTTTCTTCAGCGGCACCAATCCAGCTCTAGCAGTGCGGCCTTCGGCTCCCTCACCTGGGTGATTTGCAAGAGGAGAGAGTTTCTTTACAGTATTTATGGCAGCTCAGGGCCAGAAACACAGAGTGACAGAATGATGGCAAGCCTGATATCCTAGGGTTCTCAAAAGAAGGCGCTCTTTTTTGGTATCTTCATGTTTCTCGTAGACTATCTGCCTCTTGAGAAATAAAGACATGCACCCCCACATACACACACACCATGGTCAGAGGCCAGAAAAGCTGGTTGGTAAGGATTGGAGGATGCAGAAAAATGAACTTCCAAGTATTACAGCAAATCAGTGTGACCTGGGCAGTCAGCACGGCCACAGTCACTGTCTGGTCCTCGCTAGTGTGCTTCACAGTGCTGCAAACAAGCCCAACCTCAGCAGTCCGTCTATGTGCAGCTCATAAAATGACACGGAATAGGTTTAGTCGGCCAGCTCATTAATTCCACGCAAAGACACACCTGAGCAATTTCACTTAAGAAACAAAAGCCAAGTTTTAAAAGACTACAGGATATACCAGTAGATTGCGAATGGAACCAGCTTGAGCCCGGACATTTCTGAACCAAGCGGAAAGTTTTCTCTGCTTGCCTGGTCCCGCAAAGTCCGGTGTGAACCTGGCCAGGACTCACAGGTGCGACTAAGAAGACTCAGGTGTCTTGTATTCTAGGGGACGTCTCTAGACGCTGCCACTCACCTTGGAAAGGTCCACTAGGGTGTTGGCTTGGTCGCTCAGCTTCCTCTGCTCCATCTTGACACTCCTCAGCCTGCGGGAAAGAGTGGTAACAGGCAAGCCCTTCAGGTCCATGCAGAGGTTCAGCTGTGCTAGCAGATCCTCCAGCCCTACCTCTGCCTCTGATTTTGGGACCCAACATGGGGACCGTGAACCTGGGGAACAACTGAGGCTTTTACTTTCCTGGGGCCTGTCAGAGCCCCCAGAAAGCAAACTCTTGTCCCCACGCATGCTCACCTGCAGCCACCTGTCTCCTTGCTATTCCCAGATCATTTTCCTGCCTCTATATCTTGAGTGCATTATTCTCAACTTTTCAGGGGGTCCCCAAATCTCTCCATCAGAATAAATGTTTTCACCCTTTGCTTTTCCACTATATTTTTAAAAACTCTTCCATCACAGAAAGCATCAGCCAGTTTGTTTTGATTTGAGTTGCAATGCATGGTGTGGGTGTGTGGTGTGTGTTCTGTGTGGGTTTTGTATGTGATGTGTGTATAGGGTATGTGTGTGTTGTGTGTGGGGCTGTGTGTGTGTGTGGGGGCATGTGGGGTGTGTGTGATTTGTGTGTGTGGTGTGTAGTGTGTGTGGTGTGTGTGGTTGGTGTGTGGTATATGTGCTTTGTTTGTGGTGTATGTGGTGTGTGTATGGAGTGTGTGGTGTGTGTGGTTTGTGTGTTTATGGCGTGTTTGGTGTGTGGGGGGCATGTGTGTATGGTTTGTGTATACGTTATGTGTGTGGTATGTGTGTATGGGGTGTGTGGTGTGTGTGGGCGTGTGTGATGTGTGGTGTGTGTGTGGTGTGGGGGTATGTGTAGTGTGTGTGTGGTGTGTATGTGTGTGGTATGTGTGTATGGGGTGTGTGGTGTGTGTGGGCGTGTGTGATGTGTGGTGTGTGTGTGGTGTGGGGGTATGTGTAGTGTGTGTGTGGTGTGTATGTGTGTGGTATGTGTGTATGGGGTGTGTGGTGTGTGTGGGCGTGTGTGATGTGTGGTGTGTGTGTGGTGTGGGGGTATGTGTAGTGTGTGTGTGGTGTGTATGTGTGTGGTATGTGTGTGTGTGTGTGGTATGTGTAGTGTGTGTAATGTGTGTGGGGTGTGGGGTGTGAGGTATGTATGCAGTGTGTGTTTGGTGTGTTGTGTGTGTTGTGGTATGTGTGTGATGTGTAGTTTGTGTGTGGTGTATGGTGCATGTGGTGTGTGTGTTGTATGTGGTGTGTGTGTGGTATGTGTTGTGTGTGTGGTGTTTCTGTGGTGTGTATGGTGTGTGGGAGGTGTGTGGGGTGTGTGTGGTGTTTGTGTATAGCGTGTGGCATGTGTGTGATGTGTGGTGTGTGTGTGATGCGGGTAGTATGTGTGGTATGTGGTGTGTATGTGATATGTGGTGTGTTTGGTGTGTTTGGTGTGTGTAGTGTGTGTGGTCTTATGGTGTGTGTGAGGATGTGGATGTGTATGTGTGGTTGTGTGTGGTGTGTGTGTGTGGTGTGTGTGTGTGGTATGTGTGTGATGTGTGATGTGTGTATAGTGTGTGTGATGTATATGTGTTGTGTATGGTGTGTGTGATGTGTGGTGTGTGTGGTGTGTATGTGATGTATAGTGTGCGTGTTGTGTATGGTGTGTGTGATGTGTGGTGTGTGTGTGTGATGTATAGTATGTGTGGTGTGTATAGTGTGTGTGATATGTGGTGTGTGTGGTGTGTATGTGATGTATAGTGTGTGTGTTGTGTATGGTGTGTGTGATGTGTGGTGTATGTATGATGTGTAGTATGTGTGGTGTGTATAGTGTGTGTGATGTGTGGTGTATGTGTGATGTATAGTGTGTGTGGTGTGTATGGTGTGTGTGATGTGTGGTGTGTGTCTGATGAATAGTGTGTGTGGTATGTATAGTGTGTGTGATGTGTGGTGTGTGTGATGTATAGTGTGTGTAGTGTGTACGGTGTGTGTGATGTATAGTGTGTGTGGTATGTATAGTGTGTGTGATGTGTGGTATGTGTGATGTATAGTGTGTGTAGTGTGTATGGTGTGTGTGATGTATAGTGTGTGTGGGGTGTGTGATGTGTGGTGTATGTGTGATGTATAGTGTGTGTGGTGTGTATGGTGTGTGTGATGTGTGGTATATGTGATGTATAGTGTGTGTAGTGTGTATGGTGTGTGTGATGTATAGTGTGTGTGGGGTGTGTGATGTGCGGGGTGTGTGATGTATAGTGTGTGTAGTGTGTATGGTGTGTGTGATGTATAGTGTGTGTGGGGTGTGTAATGTGTGGGGTGTGTGATGTGTGGTGTGTGTGGGGTGTGTGATGTATAGTGTGTGTAGTGTGTACGGTGTGTGTGATGTATAGTGTGTGTGGGGTGTGTGATGTGCGGGGTGTGTGATGTATAGTATGTGTAGTGTGTACGGTGTGTGTGATGTATAGTGTGTGTGGGGTGTGTGATGTGCGGGGTGTGTGTATGGGTATAGAATGTGAAAGCCCTTAAATGTTCTTACTCTAGCTTTTACCTTCCAGAGCAGCCTGCCCAATTCCTGGCACGTGGTGGTGCAGTCAGTGAATGATCAGACCCAGTTCACCACTCCACTTGCTGAGTGGAACAGAACGGATTTCTTCTGTGCCTCCTAGGTACGTGAGAAAGTACTGACAGAGTTGTAGGAGTCCCGCCACTCCTAGCCTGGCCATGTGACGGCTGAACCGCTGTGGCATACTCACTGGTGGATAGCCTGGAGGAACTTCCTCTGGTGCTTCCTGACTTTGGCATGGTCAATCTTCTTTAGCAGCTTTGTGTGTTTATAGATTAACCACGTTTCCCGAAGGACGTTGGCTGCAGCATTCTTGATCTAAGAATAAATAAAGTAGGCTGCTATCAGGTTCATTTTCTTAGGTTCACATAATATGTTTTTTTGTGGTTGCTACTGTAGTCTACCTCATACGGAAACGATTTTCCAATGATCTATTTTCTTAATCAAAATCATGAAATTCCTAGAAAAGATGATTAAGGCCGGGAGCATTAGCTCACACGTATAATTCCAGTACTTTGGGAGGCCAAGGCGGGTGGATCACCAGAGGTTAAGAGTTTGAGACCAGCCTGGCCAATGTAGTGAAACCCTGTCTCTAAGAAAAATACAAAATTAGCCAGGTATGGTGGCGCATGCCTGTAATCCCTCAAGTAGCTTGGCTACTTGAGAGGCCAAGGCAGGAGAATTGCTTGAACCTAGGAGGCAGAGGTCGCAGTGAGCTGAGATGGCCATCATTGCGCTCCAGCCTGGGCAAAAAGAGCGAAACTGTCTCAAAACAAACAAAAAAAGATGATTAAAATTCATCTCTTATTAATATTCTATTGGACACTGCAGACCAGAGCTTGAAGTTGAAGGGTGTTTCTTTCTTTCTTTCTTTTTTTCCTTAATTATTTCAGTACTGTCTCTTGACTGCTGTTGCCGATGATAGATTTAGACAGGCTACATGAGACCTTGAGTCCCGGGGTCCCCTTGGAAAATAGCTAGCAATATACCACTGCCGCCCTTACGTGCAGACTTCTGAGCTTTACCTGAGATTGCCACAGCGTATATGGTACATTGCTTGGATTCAGAGAGTAAACAGATTTCCTGTCACCTGGAGATTTTAAAAGACTTCTTTGAGAAGATGTCTTTCCCACTGATTGGAATGGTAGGTATCAGCAAGCCCATTGTCTCTTTTCCCAAATGGCCAAAAACATTTGCACTGCAATTTTGCATGTAAATGTAATTGGCACAAAACAGAAAAATTTCAAAGCAATGTCTGAAAATCAGTGAAGATATTTAGGTGTGAAAGCAGAGCTTCCTCATTCCCAAGGCTGGCTCCTTCACTGTGCACTGAAATCACACGATTCCACATATGACGCTGTCATCTGTTGACATGGAAACCACTGATATCACCAAGCTCACGACTGAGTTGAGATATATCAATGGCATCCAGATGGCAGGGGACAAAGTTTTAATCCAAACACAGACATCTTCGGCAATTAGTAACAAGAGCAAGAGAAAACATTCCTTATTAAGCACAAGCTAAACAGATTTTTGATTAATCATCCCCATTTCTGTCAGCCATGTGGATTGGCACAGGTCCACAGGCCTGGGGCCTGAAAGTAAGGAGGCCAGCCTAATAGAAATCAGGTTACTAGCCAGAAAGGGTTTTAATAAAATTAGAGAATACAGACCTGCTTCTTCTGACTGACATCAACAGATGGGACGTTGTTAAAATCCCGAGACGTGTGGGAAGGCTAGGAAACATTGTTTTGCAGGCTGATAACTTTTGTGTGTGTATGTTTTTAAAATTTATTACTAAGGCTGGATTCTATTTTTCATTGGCGCTGAAGTGATGTTTTTAAAAGAACAGCTAAGTCTTCTCAGAAATGTCTAAGGGACATAAATATTGCTTTTAAAAAATTCAGTAAAGATCCACCATGAAAATGGTTTTAAATGACTTAATTACCCGCCTCTGGAACTTTCTTGCCTGAAAGGAAGCAGGTTGTGGTGAGAAGCTGGAAACAGTGGGTGTCCAGGAGAGGACAGCGTGGTCTCTGGGGTCCTGCTTAGGGGGCTAGAGTGAACAGCAGCCTTCTGGCAAAAAAAGGCGGCATGGAAGGGAAGCCTTGCCTTCTGCAGAGCGCACGTTTAATACTATTGCGCTCCTTTTGCAGGGAGAGGGGGCAATTTGATGTGTCATTTCTTCAGTTTCCCTGGCCACTTAGCCTCTTAGAAAGCCTCAAAGAAACTGGAAAGTCTGCAGGTGAATCCCTGCTCTGTCAATTATTAAGCAGTTTAAGAGCAAATGCTTCATTATCTGTAAGATGGGAAAAATAAAGGCTCACCTTAGGGCTGCTATGAGGTGATGATGACGGTGCTGGGGGCAACAGCTAACATCTACCAGGTGCAGCCACAGGTCTGAGTACTCCACATGTCTAAGCTTTTTTTTTTTTTTTTTCAGACGGGAGTTTTGCTCTTGTCGCTCAGGCTGGAGTGCAGTGGCCCAATCTCAGCTCACTGCAACCTCTGCCTCCTGGGTTCAAGAGATTCTCTTGCCTCAGCCTCCCGAGTATCTGGGACTACAGGTGCACGCCGCTACGCCCAGCTAATTTTTGAATTTTTAGTAGAGACGGGGTTTCCTCGTGTTGGCCAGGATGCTCTTGATCTCTTGACCTTGTGATCCGCCCCCCTCAGCCTCCCAAAGTGCTGGAGTTACAGACGTGAGCCACCACGCCCAGCCCCAAGCTTCTGTAATCCTCACCACAACCCTATCGGGGAGGTACTAATAGTATCCCCATCTTACAGATGAAGAAACCGAGACACAGATCAAGACTAGGCAATTATAAACGGCAAACTGAGTCAATGTGGGTTTGAATGCTATCTAGAATGTAAAGTACCACACAGATATTAGTTAATATCATCTAGCTCAAACCCCTCATTGACCATATGAGGAAACCACTTCAGAGACGGGATGTGAGAGCCAGAATCACACAGCTAGCTAATGGCAAAGTCAAAACAAGAGCCAGGTCCAGGAAGAGCCAAAGGTTTTCATGTGGACTGAAGGAAACAAACGACATCATTTCCTGTTTTCCAGGATCAAGGAATTGGAAAGAACATTGGTTTTTTTTTTTTTTTTTTTTTAAATAATCATAGCCCTCACTTAGCAATGTGACAGAACACAGAGTCCAGGTCCTGCACTTAACTTCAGCCCAAATGAAAGATATTGAAGTCACAGCACGGCTCGGGTAGCAGACAGAGGCAGTCACATCATCTTTATGAGTTTGGAGGGAGGCCACCGCGCATTCGGGAAAGTGATGTTAGCTGCCAGCCCTTGCACTGACTCTGAAATTAATTACCAGCAAACAGCCTGGCACAAAACTAAGTAGATCAATATCTGCAAGAGAAAAAGAAATAGGCTTTTAACCGCACAGTGCTTTCCCAGGTGGACAGTAAATGCTATTGTGGTCAGGGTCTCCCTCCAGTTCACCTGGGTGATTGATCTGAGCATTGCATTGTTGGAGTCGGGAGCAGATGAGGTCATGTGCCCTTCCTCAGGTTTACCGAGCTTCCAAAGGGCTTCATGCACCCTTCCTTGATGGAGGCTGGGGTACCTCCTGACCTCTCCTGGTGGGCAGAGGCACCAGGGCCAAAAGGCACTCTCAGGGTACAGCAGTGGAATGGGGCAGGGCTTGAGACGGAAGCAGTAAGCTGGGAAGAGTGGCTCAAGGTTGGCCACAATTGGATGGCTTTGGGGACGGTGAGAAGAGGACCCTTCGTGAATGGAAGTCCAGCTGTCCTGCCTCCAAAACCCACAAACAAATGGGCTGATTGTTTTCTGCAAGCCCAGAAACTCTCTACCAAAAAATTGCTTTCACTCTGACTGGAGCCAGAGAATGGGCTCTACGACCCGCTTTAGGAAGGGCTCTGAGATGAATGGGCGTAGGCAAGAAAGCGGTCCAATGAAGACCTTGCAAATTACAGTGACAGGTAACATTTACTGAGTGCTTACTATGTGCCAGGCTCTGTGCTAAGCCATATGTCTGCATTGTTTCATTAGGCCTCAGAAAAACTTGACAAATAGGATCACGAGCTCCACATTGGACCCACTGCTGAACTTCTGAGTCTCTCCTTATTCACACATTTCAGGAACAGCTAATGAGCACCTACAGCGGGCCAGACGCTGTTCTAGCAAGTGAGAATACCACAGCGAACCAATCAGTAACATTCCTGCCCTGATGGAACTTGCAATCTTGTGGAGGAGACCGTATGCAGTTTGTATTAGAGCATCAGGTAATAAGTGCTTAAAGAACCACCACCACAAAGCAGGGTCCAGGGCTGCAGAATGATGCAAGTGCGACCTGCATCTGTGAAATGGGATTACTCTGTTGATTAAATGAGAGTATACTTGAAAACATTAACACAGAGCCTGGCCATATCCTCAATACATGGTGCCTTTGTTAGTCTCCCTGTCCAATAAACGTCAGCTTCCTTCCCTCTAATTTCCCCAACCCACAAGAAAGTATAAAACATAACACACGTCTCTTCCTTGGCACTTGGCCATAGCATCCCATGCCAGTGACTTGCTCTGCCCACCTCTCTGCCCAGGTAACCTGCTACTTGGTATTACAGAGAGGCTGTCAGTTGCAGCAAGGATGCTTGGGGCAGAAGTACAAGGGGAATGAAAGGAACACCCTTCTTGGGCACCCTAAGCCTCCAGCAGCCACAGGAGACCTGGGAAATTCCAGGAGTCCCATTGGCAGAGCCCACCCCCCAGGGAAGAAATCACTAGTATGCCCATTATGTTGCCAGGAATCCTTGCCAGGGAAGTATTCTACTTGGAGGTTGGAGACGGGGGAAGGGAGGCCCGGCCGGTGGGTGTGATTTAAATACATGCATCTTGGACAATTTCTTCACTGTGTGAACATCGCAGAGTGTACTTAAACAAACCCAGTTGGTACAGCCTACTACACACCTAGGCTGTATGGCATGTCTGCTGCTCCTAGGCTACAGCCTGCATGCATGTTCTTGCACTGCAGGCAACTGTAACAAATCACTAGGGGATAGGCATTTTTCAGCTCCTCTGTAGCCTTTGGACGCCACCTGGGTGTGTGTGCTCTATCATTGACTGAAACGCTATGCGGTGCATGACTGCAACTTCAAGGAGTTACCTGGGTTGAATCTAGGCTGGGTGATGATCAGATCTCTATCGGAGAATCTGCAAGCCGGCCCGGTCTTCACAGACCCTGACTGAAGGTGTCCATTACACACAGGACTAGAGAAGGGGCCGGTTCCTCTTTCCCGTTTGCCAACCCCACTCTCCCCTCATCGCCGCCCCG